TGTGTTGTGTGTGTGTGTGTGTTCTATATATATATATATATGTGTGTGTGTGTGTGTGTGTGTGTATGTGTGTGTGTGTGTGTGTGTATACATGTTGTTGTCCATACGTACAGCAACCTATGTACTATTGACATACCTGTATCCAATAGCTGGGTGGTTTATTCTCGTCCTCCTCGTGCGCCCCAAACGCCGTGATGTATGGCACAGACACTACAAGGTCTGATGACAGCACCACTGACAGGTGTATCTCGAGTATATATGACACTGACACCCCTTCGGCCCCGTGCCGTTCTGTATATAAAGTGTTTGATGTTGTATATCGAGTTCAGTAATACACACTGTGCACCCAAGTGTTTCAATTTGGGGCATCGGGTCCAAATAATACGTACAGGTGCAGTCCAAGTATATACAGCACCGGCGCAGGCACACAATCAACCCATACTATCAGGTTTACCTCGAGTCCAACTGTCCATAACAGTCGTGCTGTGAAGAACCGACTAATACCAGGCATCCAGATAAACCATGCTAACCACCTCGAGCATATGACACTACCACGTGCACGCGTCTGAAACGATGACAACAATACCAACACATGGTCTGCAGTAGTATCTATACCGACACGTCGTTCGCATTGCGGCGTGCTTTCCAACATAAACTTATTCAACGTATTACACAACTAGATGCACTACTACCCGGTCCATGTATGCACAGTGGCCATCGAGTGCGTCCTCTAGAGGTGATTCTTCTGATAGCCAATAAGCTACACAAAGAACCACCCCCACCCTCCGGGGGAATCACTACGGGGCCATATCAATGCGTTTGTCTTTGGTTAAAGACTGAAAGACTACCAAGTTTAGTCAAACTAGAAAAACAATGGAGAAGAGAAAAGATCGTGCAGACGAGGGGTGATCAGGTTGATAGCCCAAAGGGAGAAGGCTTAAGCTTACCCGGGAACGAACGCAGACGGCACAGCGCTACTTAAAAAAGTGAGCCGCTCATAGGCTAGCAGATAAGAACAGGCAAGCTTGGATATACGCAACATCGCTCATAGGTTAGTAAAAACAAAGAAGCAAGCATAGCTATACGTAACAACGCTCATCGGTTGATAAGTATAAACAAGCAAGCTTAGATATACGCCACATTGCACATACCGAATGTGCCCGAGAGCGCTGGAAAGGCCACTCTTTCCTGACCCCCAGCCACCGCCATGCACCCCGCCTCATCAAGTGTTGGGTTAGCCTTAATGGACACCTGCACCAGTTATACAACAGAGTGGGCTTTATATGAACTCCTGCACATTTTATATAACGCAATGGGGTTTGTAGTACAATCAAGTGTTGGGTTAGCCCCAATGGACACTCGCACCAGTTGTACAACACAGTAGGCTTTATAGAAACCCCTGTACATATTACATAATGTAATGGATTTGATATGGACACCTGAACGTTGTGTATCAAAATTGGCATGACGAATACAGTAAATATATTAAAATTGGAATGTCATCCTCGCTTGAGCAGCGTCCAAATTGACGGTGTATAAATCTCAGTGCGCAGCATTGGAATTTTAAAAGAACGTACAATACGCGTTTTGATTTTTTTTTCACAACATCGATCGCTGTCACAAACAACAAGAAGTAGAATCCACGAATAACATCAGCAGATCTTCTCGCTGAGGAGGTTGCTACTTACGTTTGTGCTGAAGTGCTGTTTTCGTCGTACCGGCACCCCTTTCTGATTTAATTCCCTGAACCCCACGACTGATATGGAATTATATTCTTTAACCTAGTGGAAAAGAAACGGTAGTCAAGGACAAGTTGAGCGAATGTCGCAATCAACCCAACGGAATACATTGCGGTGACCGTACTCAGAAGTTGGCGTCTATTGACATGCGAATTGTTCGATGAGTTGGGAATAACCACAATGATAATCTAGTTCTACCAAGGTTTATCCATGCTGGCTATGCTGATGTTTGATTGTACCTTTAAAACGAGCAAGGGACGTGTGAATCCCGCTCGTGTGTATGAAAATACCGTATACGGACACATGGCGAACGGAATTCCGGCATTTAGGGGTGGTGAGTGTTTAGCAATGAGCATTTTTAGGGTTTAGGGTTTAGGTTTTAAGGTTTTCACAACTGGAGTGCACCCGCAAGGTTCTGTAGCAGCTTTGGACTACACCCACACCAACACCAACACCCACGCCAACACACCTGCCTCACGGCCCTCTTCTTTACACTCAGCACTTGCTTCAGATAACACTTCACCGAGCTTATACTCCTCAGCATGTCGTGGTAGATGCCCAACCGGAACGTCACCGGCTGGCCTATCCGGAACACTTGGCGGTCCAGCTGCACCTGCACCTTCACATGTCCAAACGCGTAGTGCAGGGGCTCTGGTTTGTCGTTGGTGATTATGTATTTGTTTGGCCCGTTCCCACTCGAGTAGTACCTGTTGTGCGCACATACGGAATGGAACATCTGAGGTTAAGTACTCGTCTGTCGCGGTATACGTTTCGCCTTATAAACGAACCGAGGTACATGCACAATCAACTGTAGTGTAAGAAAACGTTCTCAGGCATATGTCTCACCCACAAAATAATTACAACACCCATAGAACTATGCGAATTGCACTCGTGCCAGACCCACCTCTGGAAGCGCACGGCCGTCCTCAGATGCTTCCGATCGAGTGTGGGGTGGTTTTCTGTGTGCATCACATACGATCTGATCTCGTACCACACTTTACAGCTGGATACTGAGTCGGAGTCGTGACCTATAGTCAAGCTGTGAGTAAGGTATAAAGGTAAAAAACATATATTACAACAATACAGGCTGTGGGTAAGGTATAAAGGTATAAAACATGAATACAACGAAACAAGCTGTGGCTAAGGTATAAAACATATGTTACAACAAAGCGGGGTCCAGCGGTGGTAGAGACTGAACTGTTCTCGTGGGTGTGGTAAACCCACCCACAGCTGACATAGAGCACGATTGCACCAGTTCAATACACGCCACAAAAACACTACCGCATACTGTTCCGCGATTTAAATAAGTTCAAAGAATACGCCATGAGACGAGAACAGACCTGGGGCAAGCCCAGCGCCACATATACACCGCTTTGAGCGACCGTATAGCTGTATAGGCACGCACGCACGCATGCATGCATGCACACAACTACCTCGGAGGCAGATCGTCCGGGCACGAGAAACTGAATGGGAACTCATACTCGCCCTCGGGTAGGCCACTCTCATCAAAGGGGGTCGAGTTGCGCTGTATCTCTTCGTACAACAGGACTGTGTGAGTGGTCCCGTCTTCCGTGCGATAGCGGAAACAACACCGCAGCGAGATGAGGATATCCTTCACACAGTTGGGCAGCTCGTTCATGATCAGAAGTGCATACCCTTCGACGGGCTCGTTGTCGACCAGAACCTGTGGGCGTGTAGGCAGGTGCCAGAGAGACGAGATTTTAGGGTGGGTGTGGAGATGCGTATCTACAGTGATAGGGGAAATTTATCTACAAATGATCCAGACGTCGCTCGCAGTGATTTAACCCCGATAACTTAGGCTGTCTTCTAAGGCTAGAACAGGCCTGTGTACTAGCAGTATCTATGCGGATACAGACCACGCGAGAAGAAAT